GCTTGCAGTGGAGCCTGGTTCCCACATAGTGCTGTCACAAATCAAAGTTATCAGCATATAAAGTCAGATCAAATTCATCAGAGACAGAAGAGAAATAACCCATTGGGGTCCAGGTGAAATTCAACCCAGTTTGTCATGCTTCTCACATCTCTTGTGCTGCACAAAGGCAACACTGAAGTATCTCCCCAAGGGATGAAATAGAAAGTATTTCCCTTCTGATGGCTGTTCTGATGCTCTTGCCAACTTCTCTTTCAATCGATAGGATTGCACTGCTGTAGTGTCCTCCCTCTGAGGCTCCTGAAGTGCTTCACAAAGCCATTGCTAGGCACCAGCGTCTGTTTGCCATGAACAGGAACATGTGTGGCTTGGGAATTTGTGCAGTGGGGCAGAACTGGGAATTCTCCATCATGTCCTGCTGTTCCGTACAACCACTCCTGATCTCTTTGATAGAGGTCAATGCACAGATGAGCACAAATTCTGTCGAAATCTGCTAATCTGCTTTCTAATAGTCCCATTCATTCAACTCAACCCCATAACGCAACAACTACACTTCGGAAATCTTGGGGCTGTACAGTCACCATTTGGCTTGTTTTAAATACTTTTAACATGTTTAATAGTTGGTCACCTAGCCCTAATTAAGCTTTACATTGAGTGCAGTAGCACCTTACGTTTTAAATACCAACATTTTGTAAAATAAAAGGCTCACATAAGATCTGCCTCTTCCTTTTTGGACTAATTTAGTGCTTTGGAGTTTAGGCTGCACACAAAGAAATACAAAACTATAGCAAAATCAGATCTGTGTACTGGGAAAAGGTTTTTATGGCATTTTAATGGGTGTTGCTTCTTCCAAGCGTGTTTGCAGAAGATAAAAGCAGGGATTGGGTAAGTCAGCAGCTTCATGAGTTGGGGGTTTACCACACCAGCAGCCACAGTCTGAGACAGAGATCCTTGCTGCCCTCTTGGGGCTTTTAGATGTGCTCACAAAGTAGAAGGTGCATCAAAATACTCACAGCTGGGCTCTAGATATGCTGGGAATCATGAAAAATGACAAAATGTTGGCACTTTTGGTCACAAATAATAACCGGCCCGTAAAATGTTG